CATTAAAACCCACCCTCACCAGATCGGCAGCGCCTCTCCGTCACCGTGTTCACACAGGCACTCCGGAGCAAAGCAAGTAAGCTCAACTTGATTTTTCTTTTTGTTTTTGATTTTGGCCAATACTGTTCATATCACTTAGTTTTTCTCTGGCATCAAATAATAACCTTTTGGTCCCATGACCTACAAATTAGTCATCAGTGCCTAAGCAAATGAAAAAGTATTTCACATTAACACAGGTAAGAATCTGGTCTGAACTGAGAGCCACACCTCCTCCTGTCTCTGTCAAACAAATTTCACAAGCCCACCTCTTCAACATAGTATAACCAAAAGGAAAATAAATAGATAAATAAAGCCTTAGATGTTGAAAAATTCCTCAAGAGAATATTCACTTATGTATTTGGTAGTTTCATAAGGTTCAATTTGTGTAGCATCTGCAAGTGGAGGTGTATGTTTGACTTCTGTAACCTTCTCATCCTTCTTAGGTCAGTGGAACTTTATTCAAAACTCTTCATTTTGTTTGTTTTGTTTTTTAGAACAAATACTCAGTTTGCACACTTTCCCTCCATCTCCACCTTAATGTGACTACTTCTGGCAATAATTTTCAGGCTGACACATCAAAGAAAATTAATATCTAGGGCTGCCACTCTCTACACTGTTTTACCAAACACTTAAAACAACAGCAAGAGGATCATACACTTAGACTTTAAGCTGTGTCCCCTATTGTTGTTAGGTGCCGTCAAATTGAGTTTGACTCACAGTGACTCTATATACAATGGAATGAAACACTGCCTGGCCCTGAGCCACCCTCATAATTCTCGCTATACTTTAGCCCATCATTGCAGCCACTGTGTCAATCCATCTCATTGAGGGTCTTCCTGTTTTTTGCAAACCCTCTACTTTACCAAGCATATTCTTCTCCAGGGAATTGTCCCTTCTGACTACATGACCAAAGTAGGTGAAATGAAGTCTGGCTATTCTTGCTTCCAGGAAACATTCTGGCTGAACTTCCAGGACAGATTTGTTAGTTCTTTTGGCAGTCCATGGGACTTTCAGTATTCTTCATCAACACCATAATTTAAAGGCATTAACTCTTCTTTGGCCTACCTTATTCACTGTCCAGCATTCACATGCATATGAGGTGATTGAAAATACCATGGTGTGGGTTAGGCGCACCTTAGTCTTCAAAGTGACAGCCCAGCGGAATACATTGTTTGATTTCCTGACTACTGCTTCCATGGATGTTGACTATGGATCCAAGTAAAATGAAATCTCTGACAACTTCAGTGTTTTCTCTGTTTATCATGATGTTGCTTACTGGTCCAGTTGTGAGGATTTTTGTTTCCTTTATGTTGAGGTATAATCTATACTGAAGACTGTAGTTTTTGATCTTTATCAGTAACTGCTTCAAGTCATCTTCACTTTCAGCAAGCAAGGCTGTGCTATCTCCAAATCTCAGGTTGTTAATGAGTCTTCTCCAATCCTGATGGCTTACTCCTCTTCATATAGTTCAGCTTCTTGGATTATTTACTCAGCATACAGATTGAATAAGGATGGTGAAAGGATACCCTTATGCACACCCTTCCTGATTTTAAACCATGCAGTATCCCCTTGTTCTGTTTGAACGACAGCCTCTTGGTCTATGTACAGGATCCTAGTGAGTACAATGAAGTGTTCTGGAATTCCCATTCTTCGCAATGTTATCCATAATTTGTTATGATCCACACAGTCAAATGCTTTTGCATATTTAATAAAACACAACTAAACATCTTTCTGGCATTCTTTGCTTTCAGCCAAGATCCATCTGACATCAACAATGATATCCCTTGTTCCACATCCTCTTCTGAATCCAGTTTGCATTTCAGGCAGTTCCTTGTCAATATATTGCTGTGACCGTTTCTGAATTATCTTCAGCAAAATTTTACTTGCGTGTGATATTAATGATATTGTTAGATAATTTCCACATTCTGTTGGATCACCTCTCTTTGAAATGGGTACAAACATGGCTCTCTTCCATTCAGTTGGCCAGTTAGCTATCTTCTTGGCACAGATGAGTAAGTGCCTCTAGCATTTACTTGGTCTTCCTAGTAGGTGTGTTGATATTGTTCTATCACTGACAGCATTGTATTTGAATATAGATCTTAAAACATTCTTTTTGATGATGAGTGCAACACCATTCCTCTTCAATTTGTCATTCAGGGCATAATAGACCATATGATTGTCTGATTCAAAATGGCCAATACCAGTCCATTTCAGCTCACTAATACCTAGAATATCGATATTTATGTGTTCCATTTCATTTTTGACAACTTCTGATTTTCCTGGATTCATACTTCGTACATTCCATGTTCTGATTATTAATGAATCTTTGCAGCTGTTTCTTCTCATTTTAAGTCGTGCCTCATCAGCCAGTGAAGGTCCCAAAAGCTTTACTCCATCCACATGATTAAGGTTGACTCTGTGAGGAGGCAGCTCTTCCCCAGTCATATTTTGAGTGCTTTGCAACCTGAGGGGCTCATCTTCCAGCACAATATCAGACATTGTTTCATGGCTATTCATAAAGTTTTCTAGTAGAATATCAGACAGTGTTTCATCACTATTCATAAGGTTTTCACTGGCCAAATTTTTCAGAAGTGTATGGTCCCGTCCTTCTTCCCAGTCTTAGTCTGGAAGCTCTGCTGAAACCTGTCTACCATGAGTGACCTTGCTGGTATTTGAAATACCAAACAATATAGCCTTACAGCAACATGAAAGCCACAACAGTATGACAAACTGACAGATGAGTGGTGGTGTGTCCCCAGTTAGTCTCAGTTTAACTAAATATGAGCTCTGGTAGCATAGTGCCTAAGGCATTTGACTCCTAACCAGAAGGCTGGTGGTTCAAACCCACCAGCCACTCCTCGGAATGAAGAATGGATGATCTTCTGTAGTGATACTGCTTCAGAAACCCAAGGAGAGGTTGCTATGAGTTGGATCTGACTCGACAGCAGAGGGTTTGGTTTAGTTTTGGTTTAACTAAATATACATCAGTTACTCATATAGTATGTTCTCTGTATGAATTACTCCTGCATCTGAATGCCTGAATAGTTATAAATTCACTCATTTAGCTACAAGCTTATGCCTGGCTTTAAACAATTTAGTAAGGCATACCTCATTTTATTGTGACTCGCTTTACTGAGCTTCACAGAAATTGAGGGTTTCTCTCTCTCTCCCTCTCTCTCTCTCTTTTTTTTTTTTTTAACAAATTGAAGGTTTGTGATAGCTCTGAGTCAAGCAAGTTCTTCAGTACCAATTTTCCAACAGCATGTGCTCATTTCATGTCTCTCTGTCATATTTTGGTAATTCTTACAATATTTCAAACTTTGTCATAATGCTATTGCACACTTAATAAACTGCAGTGTAGTGTCAATATAATTTTATATGCACTGGGAAACCATAATATTTGTGTGACTTGCTTTATCATGATATTCACTTAATTGCAGTGGTCTGGGTCGAACCTGCAATATCTCTGAGGTATGCTTGAACAGCTGTACTTTCTTATACATCAGCTCTTTGATGTATTAATTTCACTACTTCCCAGGCCAGACTGAGTTCCAACATGATTCCACATGGAAGTCCTCCTAAAAAATACCAGTGTTACAAGGAGTTGAAATTGACATTTAATTTTATACAGGGAAAATCTGTTTGATTCTCTCTCTCTCTCTCTCTTTTTTTCTTCCTTTCAAAAATTATGTTTCCTCTGGTAGAGGGCAACTCCATAATAAACTGGAATTTACTTACCTCATTTTTCCAAGCATCAGCAACCTTAAAGTTCAGAACAATTTTGCAGACATGGAAAAGTCAATAGAGAAAACACCAACTTGTAAATGTCCATGACAAAGCTGCCCAACTCCTGAAGCGTGTGTGTTAAATGGCTGCCCTGCCAAATTGCTTTTCTCAGGTTTACTGACCTGCACTCGGGCTTCAGTCACACCCATGCTTCTTGCCAGCTCATATCTGAAAGGGGAAAAAAATCACATATGTTCAATATTTGGAGATATTGATGAAATTAAATAATGTTGGGTACCACCAATTTTTTAAAATGAATTTTTGATTGAGAATGACCCTGTAGGAGATCTGGTGGTGCAGTGGTTAAAATATTTGGGTGCTAATCCAAAGGTTGGTAGTTTAAGCCCACTTCAGGGAACAAAGATGGGGCAGTCTGCTTCCTTAATGATTTACAACCCTGCAAACCCTATGGGGCAGTTCTACTTTGTCCTATAGCGTCACTATAAGTTGGAATCAACTCAATGGCAGGGGGTTTGGTTTGGTTTTGGTTTAGCGACCCCATAGGACAGCGGAAAACTGCCCCATAGGATTTCCTACTGGAGCAGATTGCTAGGTCTTTTCTCCCGAGAAGCCATTGGTGGGTTCGGACAGCTGACCTGTTGGTTAGCAGTCAAGCTCCTAATCATTGAGTCAGCCAAAAAACCAAAACCAAATGCACTGCTTGGGTTTCTGAGGCAGTATCACTATGGAAGTAGATTGCCCATTCTTCATTCTGAGGAGTGGCTGGTGGGTTTGAACCGCCAGCCTTCTGGTTAGCAGTCAAATGCCTTAGGCACTATGCCATCAGAGCTCCCATTGAGTCAGCAGTAATCCTTAAATTAAATATATGGATGCACATTTCATGCTTGTTTTAAAATTTCTATCCCCTCAACCAGTTCATTGTTCTGTAATGTCTTGCTCCAGGCTTGCTTTAGGGATAGTTTTCCTTGTGCACATTTATGGGGGCACCAAAAATAATGTAATGTCTTGCTCCAGGCTTGCTTTAGGGATAGTTTTCCTTGTGCGCATTTATGGGGGCACCAAAAACCTCCACTATTTGTGAAAAAAATCAAAACAAATGCAGAAAAATTCTACTATAACTAAATTATAAACATTTTAAATAAAGGCAAGAGCTGGCCCTGCACTTGTAAGATGGTGCCTCACTCTCTTGACTGTGATTCCAATAAAAGCTTATTTATAAAATCGGGAGTGCAGCCAATGTTTCTCAACTTGATTCGCTTAAATTGTGCGTGAAAATATTCACCTTGATGCCAAGCGGGCATCGCCTCCAGTCTGGAGCCCAAGGGTGGGTGGGCTCCAGTGGCTTCCAGCCCTTAGGTGGCTTTTAGCTCACAGGAGGGGAAAGGGGCCCTGGAAAGAGTCAAAGGCAACCTGGGGCAAGTCCAAGCCATCTGGAGAACAAGCCTCTTACCGCGCGAACACGTCTGGATAGGGAGTCCGTTGGAAAACGCTCTCTAGCTCCTGCAGTTGCAACGGGGTGAAAGTGTAGCGGTGGAGGCGTTGCTGCTTATCCCGGGACAGTGGACCCTTGGCAGCCAGGAAATCTGGCACCTCCTGTTGCTGCTGCCCAAGTTCCTGGACGCCGCTACCGCCCTTTGGGCTCTCGTCGTCCCCGAGGCCGCGAGCTCCCGCGCTGACGTGACCTTTATCTGCTCCTCCTGCGTGTCTTCCTCCTGCTACAATCACCGAGACCACGGGAGGTTTCGTCTCTGCAAAAGAGAAAAGCCAAAGAGAGAGGTTAGGGAGGTGAAGCCCAGGGTACGCGCGCAGAGGAGGTGAGGGGCCGCGAACTGAACGCAGCAGTGAGGGCCGCCCACTGTCCTCTCCACTCGCTTCCCCTGGGAGAGTTCGTCTCCTGGAGTTGCCGAAGTCCCTGTCCCCTTCCAGGCACTGACCATGCAGTTCCTCAGGGAGCGCGTTGACTGTCAGGCTGCGGCAGCCAGTGCAGTGCCTGCACCCGGGCGGCGGATCCATGCTCCGAGCGCTGTCCACGAAGCCGTGCCTCTTCTTTGACTGCGCTGGGGCTCGAGCTGGGGGTCTGTCGCCTGCGTGCAGCTCTTTCTGGCGTTGGTCGGGTTACAGTGTGTCTGCCACGGGTTCAATGCGCGCACGCTCTGGGTTAGATGCCTGCTGTACTCTCCTGACTACCAGTTGCAGTGGGCAGGGGCCTGCCAGGGCGCCCACGCGGCCGGGGCGTGGCCAAGACGCGCGGGGCACAAGTGCAAGAACCCTGCTGTAGGGGCGGGCGGGCGCGTGAGTGCAACCTGCGCTCCAACCTGTAGCCTAGCTGACAGCTCCAGCTCCTGTGGTGCAGGCCTGGAGATTGGGCTTTGGTGGACCGTGTAAGCCCATTTGGGCGCCGGGGTGGGAGCGGGAGGCGAGACTTCTCAGTAGCTCACAGAGCCCTTGGAAGAGTGGAGAACGTCCCTCGCCTGGCCCTGGGTTGCACACCAGCAGGGGAATGGCGGGGTGCACTTTGCTTCTCCTGAGTGACAGGGAGAGGACTGGATGTAGCTCAGAAACTTTAGCAGCTGGTGCACGGAGCTCTGAGCGCTATTTTCTTCCATGGGGGCTCTGGGCGCAACTCTCCTTTCCCGGAAGCTGATAACTAGTGGATGGTTCTATTCCATTCACGCCTAAAGTCCGCGAATTGGGCTAGTCATTAAGATGAAGTGATTCGCTGGGAGGCTTCTTGCTCTGAGTTTTTGCAGCGATGCTGAATGCAGATCCCGCTGTGCTGGGGGGCGGGTGGGAGCCGGGGAGCAGCAGCTTGGGGCTGGATTTTCAGAGCACTCGGGATGCTCAGATGCACCCTGCAAGGCACCTTGCGAAAACTCCCAGGAATCTGGATTTTAATAATGAATCCAAGTCAGACTGCAAGCGTGGAACCAGTTGAGTGCCCTGCGTGTGTCCTTTCCTTCGGCTCTGGATGCCACAGGAGAGCACACAACCTCGGCTGGCTTCTGCCGGTCCTCGACAAAACGCGCGGGTTCCCTGTGGACCTGGGTGACTTCCGGCCTTCCCCACCTCCTCTTACCACCTCTCTGCCCTCCCTTTAAAAAGTTATAGACTTTCGTTTCTAGAGGAGTTTTAGGTTTACAGAAAATTGAGCAGCTAGTACAGAGAGTTCCCATATATCCTCTCTTCAAGTCACTCAGTTCCCTTATTATTATTATTATTATTGTGTGCCGTGGAGTAGAGTCAGATTTATAGTGACCTTATAGGACAGAATAGAACTGCCCCACAGGGTTTCCTAGGCTGAAATCTTTACAGGAGAAGATTGCCAGGTCTTCCCCCCCCCCCAGGAGCCACTGGTGGGTTCCAACTGCTGGCGTTTAGGTTAGCAGTCTAACATTTAACCATTGCACCACCAGAGCTCCTTTTACTTATTATTAGCAACCGCTGTTAGTGTGGTGTAGTCCCTGGGTAGTGCAAACAGTTAACGTGCCGGGTTGCTAAGGTTTGCAATTCAGTCTGCCTGTAGTGGCCTCAGAAGAAAGGCCTGGCAATCTATTTATGAAAAATGAACCATTGAAAACTTATGGAGCGCGGTTCAGCTCTGATTGGGGTAGCCGTGAGCCTAACTAGTTAGGTTAGATTAGGTGATTAGTGTGGTACATTTGTTACAATTGATGAACCACAATTGATGCATTATTACTAATTCAAGTCCATACTTTACATTAGGGTTCATTCTTTGTGATGTTCATTTCTACTGGTTTTGACAAACATGTCATGTATTCAACATTACAGGATCATACAGAATCATTTCACTGCCCTAAGAATAACCTGTGCTCCACTCTTCATCCCTCCCCACCACCCACTGATCTTTCTACCATTTTATATTCCCTCCAGTAATGGGTGAGGGTTTTAATTTCTCCACATCCTCACTAACACCTGTCCCCCAAACCCCAGCTTTTTAAATCTTAGCCATATTGGTAGGTATGAAGTGATATCTCATTGTGGTTTTGATTTGCTTTTCTCTAATCGACTTGATGGCAGTGTTTTTTTTTTTTTTTTTTTTTTAAGGACTAATGACGTTGACCAT